GATAGATAGATAGATAGATAGATAGATAGATAGATAGATAGATAGATGGATGGATGAATAGAAGGAAGGAAGGGAGGAAGGGAAAGGAGAAGAGGGTAAGTGGGAGATGGAGAAGGAAGAAGCAAAGGAAGAAGAGGAGAAAGGAGAGGAGGGAGGGAAGGGAAGGAAGAGAGAAGAAAAGGAGGTAAGGAGGTAGAGAAAGGGGAGTAGGGAGAGAAGGGAAGGAGAGGAAATCTTGGCCCAGGGCCATCTGTGAGTGTTGGACAATGAATGTCTTTCCCTCTTTCAGGAGCAGGAAGGGGTCATCCCTAGTTCACTTGGGAAGTTCGACATTTTCCTACTCCAAGACCACTCAGCCACCTTTATGATGTCCTGTCCCCATGGCAGTGGGCGCTCCCCGCCTAAGAATGTTGTCAAGGGGCTTCTGATGTGTGTTTTCATTTACGGTTCAGTCTCTCATCAATATATCAATACATCAAAGATGATTCGGGGGAAGGGGTGACCCCTTCTCTCACCCTACATGCACCTTCCCCATCTCCCCAAGTCAGAGATGTTCCTCAGCAGTTTAGGGGCTTGGCCCCAACAGTGATTGGGAGCTTGTCTTTATTGCTCTTGTTGCTATGGGGAGGGGCTAAGACACACAGGCAATTGGGGTTTTATATAAATTATCCTATCATAGTTGATGTTTTAGATGTGCTGTGAACCTTGTGTTTCTGAGTAAGCTTTCCAGCCACCTCTGCTCCAGTTTCCATTCTCACCTCGGTGGTCTTTGTCTTAACTGACAGTGTGAGGTCAGTGTGAGGAGCTGTAGCAAGGGACTAACCTAATTCTCCCTGTCCTGCCATCCAGCTTAGTCCTCCAGCACCTCCCTCCTCAAAGGCTCATTGCCGCCTTCCCACTGACCAGGTAGACTAGGTGGGGTGAGAGCTGACCATGAAGAGATCACAGCCAACTTTCCATTTTGGCAGAGTTAATCCTTCATGGGCCAGGAAAGCCTTTCTACAGAACAAACCTCCATGGTTCAAGAGACACAAGAAAGGGACCAAAGGAAGAGAGGTACACTGAGCAGGAAAGGTTATTGGCCTCAGTAATCCTTGAGACCGTGAGGGGAATGAAGGACAGGCAACAGCCTGAAGAGGGTCCCAGTGAAGGCCTTGTTGGAGACGGGCAGGGGATAGGGGGTACACAAAAGAGCAGTGGAGAGCATTTACCCCTCTCTGCTTTCTAACTGGAGGTGCAATTGACCAATTATTGGACCCTTCTGTTGCCATGGTTACCATGCCTCTCCCCCACCACCACCACAATGGACAGTATCTCTTCTCAAACTGTGAGCCAAAATAAACCCTTGAGTTGCTTTTGCCAGATATCTTACCACAGCAAAGAGATGGTAAATAATACAGATACCAAAGTAAGTTACTAACATTAATATTTTACTAGCCTCATTACCATGACTAACAATGCAAAAGGTGGATTTTAGGGTTGCCATGCCCTCCCTACTTCCAGGTTACTATGCACCCTTTGCGTCCTTCCCCTTAAGTGTGGCTATGACCTTTGACTTGCTTCAACCAGAAGAATGAGGCAAGGCGATGGCACGCACATGACTGGATGATTATATTACACAGACTGTGGCAATGACTTTGCTGGCATCGGTCTGCCCTGCGTTAACATCTGCTTTGAAGATGGAAAAGACGTACTGGAAATCCTTTCTTGGAAGGAGCTGAGGGTGGGTAAGAATGGGAATCTGGAAGTGGGACTACGGCTCAGCAGTTAAGAGACCTTGCTACAGAAACACAAAGATCAGAATTCAAATCTCAGCGCCCTGGTAACAAGCCCAGAGTCCCACCAACAACTTCAGAAGCTCTTATGTCCTCTTCTGATCACTGTGGGCACCTGCACCTGTGTGCACATCCTCACATGAAACTTTGAAATGTCTGCCCTGGCAATGCTGAAGCACGCATGGGCAGCCTGTATATGGCGGTTCTGTTGAATTTGTCCATGTTGGGTTTCATGGTCTAAGTTGATGAGGATAACTGACCAGGTCTCACACTCTCATATACTCTTAATTAAAAATAAGAGAGTTCTTTTATTTTAAAAGAAGAACACATAAAGGTGGTTTGTTCTTAATTATTTTTGTTTTTGTTTTTGTTTTTAACAGAATCTCTTGGAACTCACAGAAATGCTCCTGCCTTTGCTTCTCAAGTGCTGGGATTAAAGGTGTGCCCACCTCTCCACCCCACCTTGTCCTTTATTTTTATTATTAGGAATCAGTTGTCCAGCCAAAACCATAAAATAAGGCATTTTCCTATTTTTCAAGGGTGGTTTGCTTCTTGATGTTTCCTCCACAAGTGCTGTTTTTGATTGCCAAGAAGTTTTGAGTTAACCAGATCCCCAACTAGCCAGGATGGATGATGCTGGCTTCAGAGGCTGCTGAAGAAATCTTGCTCAGTGGTTCTTAACCAAGGTGCTCATGAAACCAGCACCAGGGCCTAATCGGCTGAGACTCGAGGGGGTGTTTCTCTGGAAAGATGAAGGAGAGAGAACGCCCATCTTGCAGCTGCTGTGGAGCCGTGCGCAGTCGTAACTGCAGAGATTAACAGCTTCTCGCAGCCATAAATACATTTTTTTCTCTTCAATGAGTCCTGGGGGATGAGAATCTGGTTATAATTGGATATGTTGCAATATTGCTTTTCATTTACAATTACAGTACCGAGGAAACAAAAAGGAATGGTATAAGATTTGAGTGCAGTGCTAATTAGGAACAATGCTTGTCAATAGGGCAGCTCCTTCCTCCCCAGTCCCCTCTTCTGCTGGGCATCTACAGTGCGGGACATGGGTACCAGGAAAGGGTGAGAGCACCATGGCATTGCTGCTACAGTCCTTCCTCTGGCTGACTTTCCAAGTAGGGCGGTCATTCAGCTCCTGGCTGGGGTTTTACTCATCCACAACCGTTTGTGGGAGTGGGAAAGGAAAGGAGACTGAGGAGCGAGAGAGCCTGCCTGGGGTTTGATCCCTAGCACAGCATAAAACTAGGCATAGTGTGCAAACCTTGCACCCCACAGTCAGGAGGGAGAGGACCAACAATCTGAAGTCATTATTCTCTGCCACTCCTGAGCTCTAGCCAGCCTAGTGAGGTCCCATCTCAAAGCAAAAGCTTTACATAAGCAGGTGTGGTAACTCAGGGGTGGCTGAGGCCAGAAATTGGCCTGTGCAATTCCAACTTGAGCTACGCTGTACGATCTTGTCTCAAATGTGTGTATATATGTACATATATATGTATATATAGTACATAAAATTATGTACAGAACATAATGTTAAGAGAGACTGTAGCTTACTGTCCTGCTGGCTCTGTGTGCCAGGCTCATTCTATGAGGATCTAATCTTGTGGACTCGTGGGTCATTCTGACTCCTCAGGGCTCAAACTCAAAGCTGACAAGCCAAGGCCTGCTGGGTAAAATCCCCAATTGGATGTCTTCAAAATTAAGGATCTCTGCTACTTTGATTTGGAGAAAGTATTCAGGAAATGAGGGAAATTAGCTCCTTGATAGGAAAGCCACTGGAAAGAGAACTGTTTCCTTCCCACGCTTCTGCCTTTCACGACCAAGGTCAGTCTCCATGCCGTCCTCCGTGACTCCACCCTGCCGTTACCAACATGCAGCCTGCTCTATGTCACAGCTGCTGGGATTATAAATTTAACTTAGACTTTCCCTTCAAGCTATAATTGTCTTTAGAAGGGAATTCAAAATCAATATATCACATTCTTGTGCTTTATTGGTTAGGGCTGAAATAAATGTATTCGTTTGGCTCCTTGCTGATTGCTTTTTCAAATGCAACGTATTGAAATGATAGTTTTCTTTTTGCACACAAAATGCTTTAAGGCCATAAAGCGTTGTGACAAATAGTAGCTCCTGTAGGGAGCCAGTGCACCAGACACTCCACACAAGACCTGCTAGACAGACTGCCGCAATGCCAGAACGTGGCTTCATCAGCAGACCGCAAGATGCTTCGTCTGCACAGAGCCAGGTCCCTGGACAGCTGCTTGTAAATACACACACTAAGGTAAGAGTCCTGGAGAATGACACTCTGCCAACATGAAGAAAAACAAAGAAACTAAACCAGGCCTGGAAGCATGTGTTTGCAAACCCCAGCTACTCAGTAGGCTGAGACAGGGGGATCTCAAATTCAGGGCCAGCCTGGGCAACTGGTCTCCAAGGAAAAACTAAAACAGAGGGTTGTGTTGGGCTGGGGAGATCACTCAGCCGGTTGAGTTTCTGCTGTGCAAACAGGAGAACCAGAGTTCAGATTCCCAGCACCCATGTTCAAATCTGTCTGGGCACAGAACTTACCTATAATACAAGCTTTAAAAGAGGCAGAGACGGTGAACTCCCAGAGATTATTAGCCAGCCAGACTAGCCAAAATAAGCCAAAATAGCAGGGAATAGTGCCTCAATATTCAATCATTCTCAACCTTGGGCCGCCACACCCTGGGAACAAATGCAAGGACCCCTGTGCAAACATACACATGCATGTATACCCCCACACACACAGAGAGAGAGAGAGAAAGAGAGAGAGAGAGAGAGAGAGAGAGAGAGAGAGAGAGAGATCAGTCTGTCTCAGAATAGAAATCCTATCCTATGCACAAGAGGCCAGAATTTGGTTTCCATGACATCCTTCCTTCCGTGACTGCACACCGCTATTACCAAGATGCAGCCTGATCTAAGTTGCATCTAGGTGGTGCAGCCTCTGAATACCTGCAATTCGGGCACTGAGGCAGTACCAGGTGCCACGAAGATCCTGGGTAGCCAAAAGTGTCATACCTGACTAGGGCAATGGCAATTTGCAGCTCTCTTCACCGCACACAACAAATGTCCAGCATTGATATCACTGTCTTAATGCCACTGTTTAATTGGCCCTTAATAAAAACCGCAGCTTTCCACATTAATTGCAATAGTGATTAGCAGCTATTTGCCTACTAGCACGTCACAGTTTAAATGGTCAAAAAAAAAAGTTTCTGCGTTAATTAGGAATTACATTCAGCAACAAATGACAAATCCCTGAAAGAGCACAGGCTTAAATGGACTGGCTGCATTTCATGTCTGCCAAGGCCAGAAGGAAGGAAACCCATCATTCTCAGTCCTTTCTGAGAATACAGTTTCCATCCTCAGGATGACAGAGTGCCTGCTAGGGCCCAGGTGGCGCATCCATTTGCCAGGCAGTGCAAAGAGGTGTACTTATTCGGTACAGTTCTTTTATAAATAGAACTCATGTGACTTAATGTTATTTGTGGGTGTTATGTTGACACCATGTTATTTTGGCATGACAGCTAAAGCTGTCTTGTATGTTATCAAAGTTATGTGTCTCACCGTCTCGTCACTCACCACACATATGTGGTCCATGTGTCTGTCCACTCTGAAGTACTCTTCCACTCCCTGCCCCGACTCCCACCACAAAGCAGGCAAGTGTTGCACCGCCTTGATGTGTACTGAGGGCTGGACTGGCTGCAAAGCACTTGCTGTGAAGGAGAAGAGCCTACAGGTCCCAGGAGGACCCCCTTTCTGTTGGGACAGGAAGTCATTAGAGACACCAGCTCCTTACAAGTAGCAAAATTTTCCTTGCTCTCAGTCAGTAGTCTGACTGGTTCTTGTGTACTCGAAACAAGTTTAAGTCATCTGGGAAAAATTTCGATTGAAAAAAAAACACTTCCATCAAACTGTCTGTAGGCAAATCTTGATATATGATAGATGTGGGATAGCCCAGCCCACTATGGTGCCACCCCTGGGCTCGTAGGCTGGGGGGCGGGGGCGCGGCGGAGTGGTATATGAAAGCAGTCTGAGCCAGTCATGATGAGCAAGTCAGGAAGTTCCTGCTGTAGGTTCCTGCTGTGAGATCCTGCCCTGACTTCCTTAGTGATGGATGTGACCTGGGTGTTGTAAGCGAAACTTGCTTTCATCTTGCTTTTTATCACAGCAATAGAAACGCTAATGAAGAAGCCCTCAGGCTTGCTCAGCTCCAGTCCCTAGCCTTTCTGTGTCTCTAGCCTTGCCTTCTCAAAGGGGGACAGGTGGCTTAGCTTCTTAGAGGAATAATGGCCACTCCTTACATCTCACCCCCCAACACACAAACTGTAAATCCCTAACATGAGTCACTTTGCAATGACAAAAATGACTGCTAGGCACCTACTAATCTTTGCATCCTCTACTCTCAACTAAAAGAGCTTCAGCCTGGGAACTGGGAAGATGGCTCTGTGGGTAATGTGCTTGCCGTGCAAGCATGAGAATCTGAGTTCGATTCCCAGCGCCATGTAAAATAGCTAGCAACTGTAGGGCATTGTTGCAATTCCAGCACTATGGAAGGAGACAGGGGATCCCAGAGGATCGCTGGCCAGTCTAGCCTACTCAGCAAGCTCTGGGCCAATGAGAGAGCTCATCTCATTTAAGGAGCAGCATCTGAGATGGTCTCAGGCCTCCACACAGATGTGCACAAGCACCAGTGTACCCATGTGCGCGTGGGTACACACACACACGCACACACACAATTTTACTTCATGACTGTGATTGCTGTTCTTAGTTGTCAATTGAATACATCTGAAGTTAACTAAAACCTGAGTGGTAGGTAACTTGTGAGGGTTTTTTTCTTAATTAAATCATTTGAAGTGGTAATATTCATTTTTTAATACAGATTTTTTAAGGTGGGAAGACCCATTTCTAATCTGGGCCACACCTTCTGCCGGCAGCCTACATAGACATGGAAGAGGGAAGCGCTCTTGTTCTCTCTCTCTCTCTCTCTCTCTCTCTCTCTCTCTCTCTCTCCTCTTTTTTGCCTTCTCCTCACTAGCAAGTCCATTCCTCCACTAGCATCAGTGTCTACTTCTTCAGGATTCCAGCAGATACCGGAGACCAGCTGAGACATTCAGCTGAACAACTATTGGATTTGTGGACCTTCCATTGGTAAACAACCACTGTTAGTCTAGCTGGACCACAGCTGCAACCCTTCCCAAAAAAAATCCCCATCCTCTCAGTCCTGTTCCCCTAGAGGACCCTGACTAATGCGCTAACAAGATCATGTGAAGGAGCAGTTCTTGGTCACAGCTAACGCTGGAGCCAATCAATGTCGGGGATTCCTAAAGGGAGTCAAACCCAGCTAAGATGTGAAATATTTCCCCTTGTCCCTTAGCTTTCTGTTTACTGCCTGGGGAAGATAATGTGGTGGTGAGAGCTCCAGCAGTCACACTGAACCATGAGTCACTGTGACTCCAAAAGCCTACGTTTGAGAAGGAAAACAAGTAAGAAGCCCGAGTCCTCCATGGTCACAGAGTGTTTCACGGTTTCTGAACTCCAATCTTGGACTTCTGCTAGGTTAAAAAAAATTAAAAGCATTATTGCTTCAGTTTTCTCTTATACACTACAGAACCTCATCCTAGCCAGCAGAATAATCCTGAGCTTAGAGATTCAGTTTTGTACATACATAAATTCACTGACTTGTGGTTCTCAGCCTCAATATGTAGACACACATGATCGGCTCTCCACAGTGGAGACACCAGGGCCGTCTTCAGGAGTCCTGACAACACCTTTGCTTGAGGGATCCTCCCTGAGAATCACCTGCATAATTTTCTTCTTCAGTTCTGAAGCAAAGGAGCTACCAGGAACTGAGTCATTTTCAGTTTTCTTTTTTATTAAGCCAAAAATTTCATTCCCAAACACCTCTAATGTGCCTTTTGCCTGATTTCTCCTGTAACTTCTTGGCAGCGTGCCGCTCCACATCTGCCACCACAAGGGCTCTTGCTAAGTTGCTAATGCAGGCTTCGCATTCTGGCAGTGAGCCGTGCAACGAACACAAGCCTGCCATGGTAGGCTATTCATCTAGTCCATGTGCTGTCTCCCCTTGGTCATCATTGCCAAGATTTTCTAAGACAATAGCTCAGAATCACTCTGTGCAGGTTCGCAGGGGGCAAGACTGTGGTTGTTCTGCATTTGAAGGGAGTTCACAGCTTCTCCACTACACTGTATCATTTGATTCACTATCTCTGTAGACAATCACTTCACACTACAGCCAAACATCAAGATTTTCCCTTCAATTCCAAACAGCCCATGTATTTCCTCTTCTAAAAGATACACAGCAATCTAATGTCACTGGACAGCGGCTGTTTTTGCAGCTGCATCCTTTCTGCTATGCTGTTACTACAGAGAAACGCCCTAAATCTTACTTGAAAATGGCCTCCCTCTGCTCAGTCCCTAGTTGTACAGTCCTCTTGTGCTGGTACCACAAAAAAACTCAAGTGGTGGGGGAGAGGCTTGGGTGTTGCTGTGTAGATGTTTCCTCTGAAGTGACACATTCCTTCCTAGAGGGAAGGTCATTAAGAAGTTCTAAGGAAGACTTTTTGAGAAGCTTCAGGAAGTAAACAAATCATAAGTCTCAAGAAGTCCATGCAAATGAGCACCTAGGCTAGGCTTATCCCTCCACAAGGGATATATACAAGCAGTCAGGACTGCTGAGAGCCAGCTCTACAACCGCGCAGCCACCTGCAAGTCCTGCACAAAAGTTCTAGAATTGTAGCTTGTGTGAGTCATAACTCACACTGACGTGACTGTGGCTGAGGCAGTTGTCTTTGAGCTGTCCTGCTTCTACAAGAACCTATCAGCTATACTCTCATACGTAACCACAGTGAACTCCCGGGTTCTCCACACTGGACTCTGGCCTCCTGTTGGTTTCTGCTGGGGCTTTATAAGGAATCTCCCCAGAGAGAGCACCATACAGCAAAGAAACGGTCCGTGGTGGAGGGAAAGCTAGATGACACTAAGAGTGTGCACTGGCCACTTGACTTTATATCATGGAGGGACAAGAAGCAGAGTGGACAGAAAGTGGAGCCAGCAGAAGAAAAACTCAAAATTCTCAGTCTCATTCCCCAAGGGTCACTTCCTCTAGTGAGGTACCACCTTCCAGACAGCATTAACTGGAGACCAAGTGTTCAAACACATGAGTCTACAGAAATCATTACATTCAAACCTGGGGCACACATGACCCAGACACAGCTAACCCAAACTACAGTTAATCTCCTCATTGTAGACAGAATTGTGTTTCTCAAAATTTTTTAAGCCCTTGAAGTGCTATCCCAGAAGACTTCAGAAAGTGACCATAAAATATCTGATTGAAGATTAATTTGGATATTATATCTTTAAATAATCTATAAACAGGAAGTCATTAACCAGGACCCTAATCCAATAACTGGTTGCTTCATTTAAATAAGCAAAGTCTTGTTATTTTTTTTCTTGGTCATACCTGTAATCCCTCGATTTGGGAGATCGAAGAAGGAAGGCATAAGTTTGAGGTCAGCCCGGGCAACAGAATGAGACCCTGTCAAACAAAAGAAAAAAACGAGAGTGGGCAAGTCACAAAAACTCACAAGTGAGAGGGCCAGGGAGCCAGACCAGAGCCATGACAGATTAGTAATAGCCCCTGCCAGGGACCAGGCCTTAATTTTGGTTCTAGAGGTGACTGAAGCTAAGCAAGCAGTTTTCAGGAGAACCACAACTCAGGGGCAACCAATCAGCAGACCCACAGCCTTCTGCTAGCTAAAGATACATTTCCCTACCCTGCTGCTGGACAGTCCCTAACTGTCCCGCGCTACTGTCTCGCCAGCAAGAACGACGCAGGGCACGTAGGATCCTTCTGCAGAACAGCTTTTTAATGCATCTTGAGAGTGAGAGCATAAGCCAACATGGCGGAGACCCAGAGCGAGGTGAACCCAGCCCTTATATAGGAAACAGTCCCCGCCTCGGACATGTTACTCTCAGATTGGTCAGCTGCCCATCATCCCAGATGACGCCTCGGGAGAGGCAGGGACTACAGCATTGGAAATTTACCAACACATGCGCATTATCCTGTTCACCGGGCGGGGGAACCGGATGTCAGTGCCATCTTGCAATGGCGAATGTGGTTGCGGTCCTCTACATCTCCCCCTTTTTTTACTTCTTTGCAGAAAGGCAACTCCCTCAGAAGGCAGAGATAGAGGTCGCACTTCCCAAAGTGGAAACATTATAATGGGCTTGCACGGAATCTGCCCCTAGGTTCATGACACCTGGAACTTATCCGGCCTGCCCTCTGCCATTTTTCTGGGAAAGGGAATATACGGCAGGAAACCCTTATGCAGGGCGACATATCTCTCAGAGAGGGCCATTCTCTGTGTGATGCTCTTTAGCTCGACAACCTTCAGGGCTAGCTAAGCCAAGCACTCCACCCTGTGCAATGGACAGAGGTTTCCTAGGGGTGCAGGAGCTGGTTGGCATAAACCTTACTGCCTCAGCATAGATAACCACATCAGTAGAGGTTCCCTGTTCCAGGGCAGCCAGCGCTTGCGCAATAACCACACTTTGTCCCTATGACTTTGGGATTTGAGTCAGCAGACCATCCAGAGGAGAAACACTGATCCACAGCATAGGGCTGTTCCAAACATTCCCACCCCCACCCAATAAGCTTATAAATAGAAGGTAGGGGAGCCCCAGAGTCTTATTGGTTGTAAAATATAAAAAAAAAACGAGGAAACACTGCCACTCTATGGCTGACTGGTGTCGGTTTCAGGAAGGCTGAGAGTATCCCCCATCGCTGCTCCTTCGTAACCGTTGTCATCCATCCGCAAAATGGTCGGAGGAACAGAAGCCAAATCTTCAGGCGAGTCCGCGTGTTGTGGGTCACCCCTCACCGTTCGGGTCAGTCTTTCTGGCACCCAGAATGGATTTTCCTGGTCCTGTGGGAACACACAAACAGCTCCCCTGGATCTCAATAGGATGGGATCCGGGCCTTTCCATTCATTAGAAAACACATCTTTCCATATAACCAAATCCTTAGGCCGCTGCGGATCCGAACTATGTCGTGTTGCAGCATTCTGGCCATTATCGTCCAGATTTAAAAAATTTATAGTGAACAGAGCCATGGCAATGGCTACTCTTGGTGTCGGGGGTAATTCCTTCAATATTCCCCCTTTTTGTTTAAGTAGATAAGATTTGAGTGTGCGATGTGCTCGCTCTACAATACTTTGCCCCTGGGGGTTATAAGGCAGGCCTGTAATGTGTGTGACTTGCATCTGTGCACAAAATTGTTTAAACTTTTGAGAAGTATAGGCAGGCCCATTATCCGTCTTTAAAGATGTGGGCTTGCCCCAAGCACTCCATGCCTCAAGACAATGTTGAATGACATAAGAGGTTTTTTCTCCTGTAAGTGGTGTGGCATGAATAACGCCAGAGCATGTGTCAATTGACACATGCACATACTGAAGTTTTCCAAAGGCAGTGATATGAGTCACATCCATCTGCCATATTTGCAAAGGCGCAATCCCTCTGGGGTTTACGCCAGTGTGTCTGACAGGGAGAAACTGGCAACAATTGTGACATTGGGTTACAATATCACGAGCCTCCTTTCTGGTAAGAGAAAAACGTTTACGCAGGGTTTCAGCTGTAACATGAAAATTATCATGAAAGGTTTTAGCGGTCTGTAACGGGGAGGCAAGAGCTACCGCAGCAAGCTGCGTAGCACGATCAGCCAGATCATTACCTAAACTCATGGGGCCCGGGAGCCCCGAATGTGCTCTTATGTGTGTGATAAAAAATGGAGCTCTCCTATTTAGTAAACAGTCCTGTATCCTCTGGAAAAGAGCTGCCACTGTACTAGTAGGTTTTATAATTCCAGCGGTCTCTAATAATTTAACAGCATTAACCACATAGGCAGAATCAGAAACAATATTAAGAGGACAATGAAATTTTTGAAGAACCTCTAAAACCACCATACATTCCACCACCTGGGGTGAGGTGGCAGAAAAGTTCTTTGTATATATTTTAGAATCCACAACATAGGCTCCCACACCATTTTTGGAGCCATCTGTATACACCATCACCCCGTCTTTTAGCGGGGCAGAAGATGTAACTCGGGGAAACACAATGGGATGACATGCAGCAAACTGCAGCAGAGGGTGTTTGGGATAATGATTATCAATTTTTCCTGAAAAGGTGGTAACCAAAATTGCCCAATCGTCAGAGGTGGCGGCCAAAGTTTGTATCTGAAAGGAGGTATAGGGAACTATCATAACCGCTGGATGCTTACCAAAATGACTAACAGACATTTTAAGGCCTTTAAGGGCAATTTGAGCTATAGCAGCTGGATACCAATCAATACTTTTGTTAGGAGAAGCATGCGGATGGATCCACAGTAACGGTCCATCCTGCCATAACACAGCAGTGGGTAGCTTTCTTGTTTTAAACACACATAGAACAAACGGTTGAGTTTCATCAATACGGCACAGCTGTGCCTCCTTGATGGATTCCTCCACTAGTAATAAGGCTGCTTCTGCTGCCGGCGTCAAGGCCCGAGGGGAGGTAATATGAGTATCCCCTTCCAAGATATCAAACAATGGCTTCAAATCAGCAGAGGGGATTTTTAAAAACGGTCGCAGCCAATTAATATCTCCTAACAACTTTTGGAAATCATTTAATGTTCGCAAATCGTCCCTATAAATTTTTATTTTTTGTGGTAGAACCTTTTCAGGAAGAATAACAGAACCTAAGAATTGGCCAGTGTCTGTAATCTGGACCTTCTCAGCAGCTATTTGAAGACCCCATAGCTGTAAACTCTTAATGAGCAATGGGTCTAGTTCTTCTACCTCTTCTCCTGAGCCAGAACTTTCATGCTCACTTTTATGGTCACTTTCAATTTGCGGAGCTTCAAGCTCCTGCAGAGGATATAAACTACTGTCCTTTCCTTTTTTCTTATTGTTGGTTCCAGAAATCTTTCGACCTTGTAAATCAGTCTTCTCCCCCATTCTTATTTTCTTAAAACCACTGGAGGGTCCTTTTTCCTTATTTGAGACTGTGCGCACACCTAACCTCTCACTGTACTCAGTTTCTGAAATGCTATCCTGGACTTCCTCCGTTGCAGCAACCGCCTGGTAGGATTCATCTTTTAAGCAATCTTTGGCGAAAAATAAGAGGACTACTAAAAGAGGTAGCAAGGCCCCTACGAAACCTTCCCAATGTGGAAACAAGTCAAGCCCAAAACCGAAAAATCCAGGAAAAGCCATATCTCTCTGAGTATACAGACCTGCAGTTCTGAATCCTCCTTGTGTCCAAGGGGTCTCCGGCGGTGCGAGCAGTTGTCAGGGTCCCTCAGCGTCCCGAGGGATTCGGCACCAGATGTCCCACGCTACTGTCTCGCCAGCAAGAACGACGCAGGGCACGTAGGATCCTTCTGCAGAACAGCTTTTTAATGCATCTTGAGAGCGAGAGCATAAGCCAACATGGCGGAGACCCAGAGCGAGGTGAACCCAGCCCTTATATAGGAAACAGTCCCCGCCTCGGACGTGTCACTCTCAGATTGGTCAGCTGCCCATCATCCCAGATGACGCCTCGGGAGAGGCAGGGACTACAGCGTTGGAAATTTACCAACACATGCGCATTATCCTGTTCACCGGGCGGGGGAACCGGATGTCAGCGCCATCTTGCAATGGCGAATATGGTTGCGGTCCTCTACACCTAACCATAAAAGCTGTTGCAAGGAGGGCCCGCTCGTTTGTCCCGGCTGCCCAGAACTGAAATAACCACACAGAAATTGTATGAATTCAATCACTACTTGGCCCATTAGCTCTAGATCTTTATTGGCTAACTCTTACATCTTAATTTAACCCATTTCTATTAATCTGTGTACCACCATGAGGTCGTGGCCTACCAGCAAAGTTCCAGTATGTCTATCCCTGGTGGTGGATCCATGGTGTCTTCCTGTCTCTGCCTTGTTCCTCCCAGCCCTCCATTTAGTTTTCTCCGCCTAGCTCTGTTCCCCTACAGCTCTGCTATAGGTCCCAATCAGTCCTTTATTGATTAACCAAGAAAAGGCAGAAGAACCTCCCAAACCACCTCCCAATCCTATGAACTTCTTGTTAAAGCCACCAATCAGCCCTAGACTAAGCTCTCCTCTCTGAAATTCCCCTAACTCTGCTTAAAAGAAGCCTGGCTGGCTCCTTGTTACTGAACTGACAAGAACAAATCAAATGGCCATCGACAAGCAGTAGTGACCATCTAGCATTTAGATTATTATATAAAATGTCAACTCTTTTATGAGATGATGGTCATCATACATGGGTGTTGTCCTGCTAATGTCCTGAAATAACCAAATAAGAATTTGGCAGCCACCCAAAATTTTATCAATTTTTAATTAATGTATAAAACCACTATAGTCGATGATTTCACCTACACTTTGTTTCAGCTATATATGATGCAGGAGAATTGTCTGTATTCTGTCAATCATATTTTAAAAAAACGCTGATTGGCCAGGCAGGCAGTATAGGTGGGAAAGCCAGACAGGAAGTAGGGGTGGAGCAAAGAGACTGGGAGTATTCTGGAAAGCAGGAAGCTCCCTCCGCAGTTCTGCCCAGACCACTGGAGAGGAAACATGTAAGCTGCCTAGCTGGAAAAGGTACTGAGCCATTATGGCTAACATAGATAATGATAATGGGTTAATATAAGTTACAAGGACTAATAAGTAGCCTGACCTAATGGGCCAATCAGTTTATAATCTTATGGAGTCTTGTGTGTGATTTTCTCTTTGGGATTTGCCGGTTGTTGGGTACCAGGCAGGATGGAAACCCCAACAGGCTGGCCCCCTCATGCTACATAGGAAGCTCTTGTGAGTGCCCACTTTTTGATGTTGAACATGCTTCCTTGTTCATTTCCCACAACATAAGAATGGATTTGTCTCAGTTTCTTTTCCTACTGTTGTGGGAAAACATCCTGACAAAAGAAACTTGAGGAGCAGGGTTTATTCTGGCTGACAGTCCCGGGGACAGCCAGTCATGTGGAGCAGGGTTTATTCTGGCTGACAGTCCCAGGTCAGAGAGTCATGTGGAGTGGTCACAGTGGCAGGGGTTTGAGGCAGCTGGTCACATTGTGTCTGCAGTCAGGAAGCAGAGACCAGTGACTGCTGCTCTTCATCTGGGGTTGTTCTTCTTATATAATCCAGGACACCCTACCTAGGGAATGGTGCCACCAATAATTAAGGTGGATCTTCCCACACACTTAACATAATCAAGATAGTCTGTACAGGTGTACCCAAAGGCCAATCTCCTGGGTGGTTCTAGACATTTAATATTTACCATCATCTAGTGTTGTTCCTTAGAGACCCAGAATAAAAGACCCTGGTTCTCATGACTTTTGTTCCACTTTTCATTGTTTTTCTGTATAGAACTCACATCTAAGATGAACCTATTGATTTTCCCACCCAGACTCCTCCTCATATCCAACCTCCAGCTTAACCTTCCTTGACTCTACTAAGGATCTCTATGGGTGTTTGACCTGGACCAACAAGTCATTCTTTGGTAGCAGGCTCCTGAGGCAGGGGTGGGGAGCAGTGGATCAAAAATAACAAAGAGGACTTGGAAGTTAGGATCAAGAGGTCTACATGAGCTGATGACTCCTGACAGCAAGTTTGTTTCAAAGTACAGCACCTTATATACTATTTTCAGGGGACAAGCGGGACAGAGTCAAAAGAAAACTACCACAAAATAGGACAAGATCAGCAGAAAGCTAATTAATCAGTGTTACACTAAGGAAACACAGGGTATCTCAACTGTCACAGTGCAAGCACACAGCAGCCTTGAGGCTGATCACAATAGTCTCTTAAGTGGAAAGAGCTGGTTGTCAGTATCCTAAACTGAAGCTCCCACAAGGTCCTTGCTGAGCATGTTCCTGGTTTTAGACAAAGAACCATGTTCCTCTTCCTTACATTGGGAACTCAGGAAATGTCTCAGATTGCTCTGGCTCCCAACAGGTGACCTACCCACACACCTAAGAATCATTCTCAATTCTCTCTTTTCTTTCTTCCCTGCTTTCACATCCAAATCTTCCAGTATGTCTACTGTCCTTCCCGAATAGGTATCAAATTCACTCCTTTCTCAGTACCTCACTGGGTTGCCTTTTCCAAGTTCACCATCATTGTCCAGATGCATTATAAATAAGCTTCCTGTTAAGTTGTGGGGCTTCTACACTTGCCCCTCTGATCCACTCTCTAACTGAAATCAGAATGACTCTCTTACAATCACAGTCACATGCCACATACTTGTGACTCCATTAGCAATGGACTGCATGCTCCATGATGGCCCCAGGAGGTGACAACACAGCTGACAAGTCCCTATCATTCAGTATTGTCGCTGTGACGTTCAGATGTGGGGTTTGCAAAGGGACTGGGCAGTGAAGGTTCTGACCTCATCAATTACTTAATCTGCCTATGGCTGCATAGTGGGCTACTGGGAGGTGGTGACATCTGGGTAAAGTAGAGCCTGATTGGAGGAAGCCAATCATGGAGAGAGTGTTCACAGATTGAAATCTCCGAAGTCATGAGCCAAAATCTTCCCTCCGTCGATTTTCTTGGTTGTGATTGTGAATCTGAATTGTCAGCTTGATGAGACCTAGAATCATCTGAGAGATTGGCCTCTGGGCATGCCTGTCAGGGACTAAGTTAATGGTAGCAGGAAGATCTGCGCACTGTGGGTGGCACCATTCAGTGGGCTGGTCTCCTGGACTGCAGAAAAGGAGTAAGTGTGCTCTGAGATGATAAATCGCTCTCTGTCTTTTGACAGTGGATGGAATGTGGCAGCTGCTTCAAGCCCCATTCTGCTATGACTTCCCCACCATGACAGACCTCAGACTGTGAGCCAATGGAACCCTTCCTCCCTTAAGCCACATCTGTCAGGGTGTTCACAGCACAAAGACATCCGGTCTCATCATCGCTGTGACAAGACGTGACTACCATACAGCACCATGAACTGGACTACATCCACTCAGCAACTCTACAACTATTTCCCCTAAAATTCTTTTTCCTATATCTTCAGACTAGCTTTGGCACAGCGAATTTAGCTGTTGAAGACCGAATTGAAGAGCAGCTAAGTTGCAGGAAGGTGGTCAGAGCGAGGCAAAGCAGTGTGAAGACTTACCTCTGTGAGAAAGGCAGATGAAGCCCTGGATAAATGTATATTGTTGATATAAGCATGGCCGTGTAGAGAACCACAGTGCTTCAGACCTAGGATAATTGCAAGGCCTTCCTCCAGTCAGGCTCAGAAGAGGGGCAGGGTCTTCCCTGGTCCTGATACGTATTTTGACAGTATGTGCAGGAAATATCTGTGAGGATGGAAAAGATTTCATTTTGGTGCTGGGACTTTGTGGTACTTCAAACTTCGCCCCCACCCCTGAGGAAACCCGGGGGTCACTAGCCCCATTTCAGGAAAAGTATTAGCTAATGGGAAAAACCCAAGGTACACAAAACTGCTGACAAGACGCTGACCACCTAACTTCCACTATCAGTTGAGTAACAAGGGACCAATCAGGTGAGTTTCCAAGCAGTCCCTGTGGTTAGCAGAGGGTCAGCAGATGTCCCAAGGACATGACCAGGGGACAGTTGCTATGGGTAAACAAACCCCCTAGGCAATGACAGCCTACCAGAGAATAACACCTAAGCTGTACCTAACCTTTAGCCAATTATGATATAGGATAAGTAGTTCTGTACCTTGAGACTGTAATCTTGTGACTGCTTTGTGGTTTTTGTCTTTATAAACCCCTTACAAAAATAGATGGGGTCCTTCTCCCTCCATCTTCTTTGTCAGACTATGAGGCAAGGAACCTCTGCTAGCCCATACATAATAAATGAAATCTTGCTTTTGCACTCCGAAGATTGTGGTTCTGTGGTGGTCTTCTTGGGGGGGGGGGGTCTCAGGACTTAGGCACAACAATATCGACCAGAGCTTCCTCCTCCAGGGCGACTGCTCACTTACAGAGACCTTATCTGGGATTATCTCACTTCCTTCTCCAACTTGCAGCCATATTTAATACATGTCTGTGCTTCCCAGCTGCTGGTCAACTCCAACAGAGCCAACACAATCTAGAATCACCCGGAAAGAGACTCTCAATAAAGGATCGTGTTCAATAGGGATCATCTACAATGAATTGGCCTTTGTGCATATCTTTAGAGGATAGTCTTTATTACATCAGTTGATATGGGGAAACCCAGACAACCATGTTTGACACCATTCCCCGGGCAGAGGATCCTAAACTGTGTAAGACTAGAGAAGCCAAGTTGAGCATGAGCAAGTGAGTAAGTGTGCATTCATTTCTCTCCGCTCTTGATTGAGGGTGGGCCTGGCTGCTCGACACCCTGTAACCTGTAATCTTAAATCGAATTTATACCTTGTCCCTTAAGCTGCCTTCTGTCAGGGTAGTTTTTACAGTTACAGATAGGAAATCAGGACAGAAACCCACAGATGTCAGCTCATCCTCATAGATCATAGGAAAAACTCTTTTCCTTTAAAGCAAAGATAGCTTCCTTTTCCTGTCTGCCTGCTCTGACAACTGTCAGCCCAGTGCCATACAATGAAGCAACAACCAGAAGCTGGCCGTTCATATAGTTCTAGGTCACAACCCCCAAACAAATTCTTATTCCACGTAATACCTAGCATATCTGCTTCTCCAGTGGACCCACGCCTCAGCGTGTTTCTGGAGAATCCATCCAAAGGCCATAGGTGTTGTGTGATATATTGTGATGGTTAACCAAGTGTTAACAAGATGATGTTAGTTGACCAAGATATGGAATTATCAAAGAAACAAGACTTGTGCGTGTCAATTATGAGTTATCGAGAATGGGTTAATTGTGATCAGAAGACACAGCCTAACCATGAACATCATCATTCCTTGAGCTGGGATGTCAGACTGCAAAGAAACCACAGTTCTCTGACGACCTGTTGCCTGCTGCCACACAATCCCCCTGCCATGATGGACTGTCTCCCCTGGTAATATGGGATGTCATTCTGTATATGTGTTGCTTTTATTGGTTGAAGCATAAAGCTGTTTTGGCCTATGGCAGGGCAGAATATAGCCAGGTTGGAAGAGATATAGAGAGCAAGTAAGCGGAGTCAGAGAGATGCCATGTAGCTGTCAAAGGAGCAGGACACGCCAGAACCTTAGGAACCTTAGCAGTAGGCCACAGCCTTGTAATGATACACAGACTGATAGAAATAGGTTAATTTAAGGTGTAAGAGTTAACTAAGAATGTTCTAGAGTCATTGGTCTAAGTGTTGAAACTAATATTGTTTCTGTGTGATTATTCATGTCTGGGAGGCTGGGAAATGAACGAGCAGTCTCCTACTACACCCTGGAACTGGAACCACAATACACTCTTCCTCTCTTAAGTGCTTTTGCCGGGCATCTTATTGCAGCAACAAAAGAAAGAGTAAGCAGGCAGCCACGCGTGCAGTGAGCTACCCTGGCTCTCAACCAGGTGTGTGGGACTGAAGATTGCAGTCAGTCGTCCAAAGCCCACAGACCCTGGAGGAGGGGGTTGACAGAGCTCCCCCAGATGTGTGAAGCTGATGCACCGGGAACAAGAGGCAGTCCACACACAGAGAACATCACAGCAGGCAATCAGCAGGCAGAAACTGACTAATTCTCGGCACAGGTGTTCTCACTGGTATTGATAGTTGGTCTCAAGTCAAAATAGAGTCTCTCTGGCTCCTCCACCACTAGCAGGTGTTTCTCACTCCAGAGCCTGCAATGTATGCATCTCCTAAGACTACAAAAATAGGCATCACTGGTGTTTCTCTGTAGGAACACTGAGAAACAAAAGGCATTTCACTTGGAGAGCTGCCTACATCTCTTATGAACTTGTTCTACTTCCATGGGGACTTGCTAGGTCTGTGTGTGAGCATGGGTTCATGGAGAGTAATAAATTTCTGGTGCTGATGTCCTTCAAATATTCGGCTTCTGAGAAAGGCAGTGGGATGGGTCAACTATAAAGAAGCATTACCTTTTATTTTAAACGTATTCACTAAACAGACTTGTAAATTTTTAAATTGCTTCTGTTGCTAAAATGTTGAAGTTATAGATTAGGATTAAAAATATCAAATTCTAAGTATGATATTGGGAAATGCTCAAATAAATTTAATTTTCTAATTTAAAAAAATAACTACTAACACAATAAGACAATCTTTATACAAAATATTTTCTAACTATATTTATAATTCCTCTTACAACTAGACTTTGTTCCCAGTAGAAGAAAATAAATTCTATACATAATAAGTTTTTTAAAGCTGTTTTTATTCTAAGACTCCAAAATAGACTGAATGCTCTTTTCTGGTGCTTTATAACTTGGGATCAAAAACCCATGTGATAAAAAGCCACATATCTTGCTATTCATAAAGAATGTTTTGGTGGAATCGTTAATTAAATGATGCGAAGGCTTCTGTGAAGTTATGATTCACATGTGAGGATTATAAAAAGACACAAAACATAAGGAAAGAGAACATCACCCTCCAGACACAGAAAAAAAGCTTCAGTTAGAAATGATTTTCTAAAGAAATGAACAAGAACGTTGTCAAATACCAAGCAGGTATTTATATTTATATTCATACCTATATAGGCTCCCTTTATAAATGCAGATACAGCTACCTGGTTATTAGCAGATAAGTATTCACCTTAATATCTGTATCTATTCATACATAGATATAATTAGATGCATATATAATTGATACAGACCTTGATATAATCAAGAATCCCCCATGAAATAAAAGTATCAAACTGGAAAAACTGAAGACAGCCCCTTCCTCTTTGTCCACCAGCCTTGCCTGCTGCACACTGCATCCCTCCCCAGGCCCCAGTACATCACATCACCATTTATGTCCTGGCAATACTTAAGCCTGCATGGGCAGCCCATTTGGGACAGTTCTCCAGTTGTTCCTGTCCTGGACAGTCCTAGATGCTTGTGTTACTGTCATACCCAAGGTTCCACAGTCTTCCTTTAAGCTGTCTATCCAGCATTTTGTCCCATGCCCTCCTCCAAGCAGGGCTGTCTCCGGGTGTCTGCCGTCATTCATTCTCATAGCATGGCCGAAGTATCTCAAGCGGCATTGCCGCATCCTGTAGTTTACGTCTTTCTGTAGATGGAGATGTTTCTTAACGTCATCACTGTGCAGCCTATCTCTTCATGTAATACCTAGAATCCTCTGGAGACAGGCCATTCCAAACACAGTCAGTCACCGTTCAGGGGAGCGTTTCACTGTCCAGGCTTCAGAGCTGTAAAGGAGGCAGCTCAAGACAAGTGTCTCATATACTTGTAATTTTGCTGTTGTCGTTATGTCTCTCGCTGACCGAACCTTTCCCAGTGCCTGGAATGTGGTCCTCGCTATCCCTAATCACCTCCACCTCTTGATGTCTGAAACAGTTCCTTCCTCTGTACTGAGGTTTCCTCCCAAACTAAGTTGGGTGTTTGCTTGAGGTTCTGATTCTTTATTACAATGTTAACAACCTTGTGCGCCCTTCCCATGTGCTGTATCTCACTCAGTCTTCTCGATGCTGACTTTCATTCCAAGGTTTTCACTGACTTTCACCATTCTATATACCGTGGTCTGCAGCTCATTTAGACTTTCAGCAAGCACTGCTGTATCGTCGGCAAAATGCAAGTTACTGATTCACACACCACCTATCTGCAACACCTATCTCCTCACCCTCCAGGCTGTTGCTGTTATTAATTTCAAGAATATATTAAAGATCAGTGGTGAGAGGACGCATCCCTGCCACACTCCTACGGTTGCCTTAAACTGATCACTTTATTCTCCACAGACTTTGACTGATGCAAAGGTATCTTTATAGGCATTTTCCATATTCTTAGGATTTTCTCTGGGTACTTGTAGAACCTCATTGTTCCCAAAGTCCTTTTCTCCAAATGCTATCAAATGCCTCCTGAAGTCAATGTAACAGACATAAAAGTTTTTTCAAAATTCTTTGCATTTTTCTGCCAGTTGCTTCAAAGGGAAGATTTGCTCACTTGTGCTCCCGTTAGCTCTGAACCCACACTGGGCCTCTGCTAGGGTTTCCTCTGTTCTGCCCTTGATCCTTTGCAGGATAATAGAGGAGAAGATCTTGTTGCTATGGCACAACAAGCTAATGTCCCTGTAATTTCAGCAATCCAGCTTGTCCTTCTTGTGTGTGGGAATTATGACTGAGTGCTTCCATTTCGTGGGAATCACTTCGTGTTCCCATATCTCTCTGAAGGGTCTGAGAAGCATCTCAGCCCCTGTGCCTATTGTAGCTGCCTCCAGCTCCTCCACCATGATGTCATCCACTTCTGGAGCCTT